TGGTTAAATACAGCTAGACCATTTAGCTTTGCAATGCAGGCTCAATTTTTTCCAGAAACATGCAAGAAATGTTCATTTGTGTTGAATAATAATAATATTAATTAAGAAAGGTAGCCACAGACAATTTTTAATTATCTCATTTCATATGTGTTTTTTTGTAATTGTTGGTTTTTCTGATTTGTATAGGTTCAATGATCTGGATGGCACCAGAGGTGTTGGAGAGGCCTTATGATGAAAGGAGTGATGTATGGTCATTAGGATGCATCCTCCTAGAAATGGCCACCTGTAAAAGTATGCAGGTGAGAGTGGTAGGCAGATAGGTGTATCATCAATGTAGTACATCCTGTTATGCCTTGTAGATATTTTAGTCCTAATAATATTTTAGATGATGGACCTTATAATTCAAGATTCAAGAAATGTTATTTGTCCATATAAACATACAAGAAATTGTATTACTTGGCAGATGAATATAACAAAAAATTCATACATAAGTACATATACAATGCCAAAATTCATAAAAATTATGAATTGATTCTTTGTTTTAGGTTACTGAAGTTCATAGTCTTATGTTCGACATGAAGCAGAATAACCCACCATTAGAAGATGCCTTAAAAGACATTGAGAAGGAGTACTCAGTAGATATCTGCCACTTGATACGGACGATGTTGAGGAGGAACTTCCAGCAGAGACCTACAGCTATGTATGTCATATTGTACATTGTAATTAGCTAATAACACAAAGAAACAATAGTAATCATATGGCAATGATGAGAGATGTTCAATTCAGACTTTTTAAACTGTGATCTGTGTCCATGTTGATGCTTGCCATAGGGTCACTCAGAGTAACCTAAAATAAAAAATAAAGAAATACATAAAAACCACAATAGATTGTCTACTTCTTGCATCTCACATACATTTCATGGTCTTACATTCTTTTTCTTCTTGTCTTCAGAGAGCTTGTTGAGATTCCATTTGTTAAGAACTGCTTGGCATTGAGTGGCTCAGAATTAGCTGGAAAAAAGAAAGAAAAACAGAAAAACTCAAGTAAGCACTTATTTACTAGTTGACTAATTCCTTAGTCAACAATGCATCTAAAATCATAACAAATGTATATTATATTGTAATATTATTTTTCTATATTTGTTTTAGTTGTAAGTAATTCATTAGAAGTATTTTATGATAACATTTGGAAATACTGTAAGTCATATTTAATGTTCGGTTTCTGGATGTATACCTTATGAATTTTAATGTGTTGCAGGGCCCCTCAGGGCGCACGTTATAAAGCTTGCTTGTTGTGGGGACCCTTTTTCCACTTTATTCA